CTCACCTGCTCCCTGTGCTCGCTGTGGAGCAGCCTGGGCAGCCCTGTCAGGCAGGGCCACTGCCAGGAGGAGCAGGAGGAGGAGACGCAGAGCAAAGGCCATGGTGCCTTGCCCTCTGCCAGTCCTGCAGCTCTTGCTGCCACCGCTGTCCTGACACCGCTGTCCCAATGTCAGCACCGCTGCTGCCGCCGCCGCTGCTGCCGCAACAGTCGTGGTCAAGGACTGACTGCTCGGTCCTCGTGGTGCTGTGCAACCACGGGGCTCTGGGACCTCTGTGACCTCAGAGCCTGCTGTCACCTCAGCCTGCTGTCACCCCACAGGCTGCTGTGACCTCATGGCCAGGGTGGAATTGTGTGGGGAGTGGGATCTGCCTTCTTCACCAGGGAGCTCATCCTGCCCAGCAGCTCTGTCCAAGGGCTATGACAGGGTCCCAGCCCAGCTGATCTCACAGGCTGGGGGATGAAGGGATGGAGAGCAGCCCTGCTGAGAAGGACTTGTGGCTGCTGCAAGGAGAGAGGCTGGACATGAGCCAGCCATGTGCCTCTAAAGGAGGCTGCCCAGCAGCTTGAAGGAGGTGATTCCACCACCCCTCTGCTCTGGTGTGAGCCCACCTGGAGTACTGCATCCACCTCTGGGTGCCCAGCACAGAAAGGACATGGTCCTGTTGGAGCTAGTCCAGAGGAGGGACAGAATGCTCTGAGGGCTGGAGCCCCTCTGCTTTGGAGACAGGCTGGGATAGCTGGGGGTGTTCAGCCTGGAAGAGGGAAGGCTCCACGCAGACCTGATTGCTACCTTTCAGTACTTTAAGGGAGCTTTTAGAAAAGACAGGACAGAATTTTTAGTAGGGCCTGTTGTGACAAGACTGAGGGGGAATGTTTTCAATCTAAAAGACAGTAAATTCAGACTAGACCTAATGAAGATGTTTTTCACACTGTGGGTTTTGAAACCCTGGCACAGGTTTCCCAGAGAGGTGGGCATCCATCCCTGCTGACATTCAAGCCCATGCTCTGAGCAACCTGATCCAAAGGTGTCCCTGCTCACTGCAGGGCACTGGACTAGATGGCCTTTAAATGTCCCTTCCAAGCCAAGCCATTCTGTGCTGCTGTGCACCAGCAGAGCAGTGCTGGAATAATGCTGGGGTGATGATGCTGGCACCTGTGTTTTGGTAGTTGTGCCATTTAGCTGTTGGCCAAGAGAGGATTGATGGGCTGCACAGTGAAGTCTGCAGAGAACAGTGTGCTCAAGGAGAAACAGGAGAGGAACAGGGCTTCCAGCTCAGATAAATGCATTTTGCTGCCCATTTCTCGTTAAGAAATAAAGCAATGTTCTGAAGATCCCTTCAGTGTGGGTGCACTATTGGCTGTATCAGTGCTTGTGTTCTGTAAAACAGGTGAGTTGTTACAGCTTCTTGCCCCATTTACCACTGGATAAAACCCAAATACTACATTGCTCCATGTCTCCTTTCTTCCAAGTAAAGGCAGATTTTGTTCATTCTTCAGTGGGACATATTCATCTGTTGACAAGCAAATTCTTCTTGCCATTCACACAATGTTGATTTGCACTAATCAGATTATAATTAAGACCGCTTACCTTCTTCACTGTAATTAAGGCTGATGGATTGTGAGGCAAAGTGTTGCATCATTTGCCCTGGAGAGAGTTTTTCTCTAATTCAATGACATTTGGAGACAGCTGTAGCCTACCATACTTCTGGCATACTAGAAATGAAAAAACAGCCATGGAAACAGGCTGTTCTATCCTTTCCTCCTCCTCCTTCTCCAAGGTATTTTAATCCCTGAAGTCTGAGCTCTTCAGCTGCCTCACAAACATTGTTTTAATTCACACAGGTATCCATCAGGACAGTGGCTGTGAAGCTTGGAACAATGTAGGTTTAGAGCAGCAAAAATAATAATCCATTTCCCAGGTTAAGCCAAGCATTTCCCAAATAACTCTAGCTATCCTCAGGGATGTTTCCAAAAGTATCATTGTAAATGTTGGGAGCGGGGAGAGAGAATGTGAACAAAATTAAAAATACAGCTTTCTGAGATCTTTTTATTCCTATAAAAACAGAGTCAAAATTGTTTATAGATAGAACATTAACTAAGAAGTGAACAACAGATTGTCAAGATAATTGCTTAGGAATCAAAAATATCGAAATAAAAATAAGTTAACATGTGGATTTATAAGAAAACAATCATACTAAGAAAAAAAAAAAACCCTACCAAATCTAAAAACAATAAGGCTGCCTCATCTGTCTCAATAACAAAAAAAAACCAAAACCAAACACCATTGAAAATAATCAGATCCTCAAGACCATTACTATATACAGGACCCTCCAGGTAATGGGAATAAACAAAGGAACTTTTGAACAGTTTTTTATTCTCCTTGGGCTGGGGGAGCTGTCACAGGGAAGGGAGGGTCAGGGGTGGCAGTGGCTGCTCAGGGATGGGTTTGGCCCGTGGCCCTGGAAGGAGCCACTGCCCAAGCAGCTGTGCTGCCCCCGGGCTCTGCTCCCAGCTTTCTGGGCTCTGTTGGGGGGCACAGCCTGTGCCAAGGGGTGGCAAAGTGCCTGCAGGCCCCAGCTCTGGGGGAAACAGAGAACGTCCTGGCCGTATCCAGCGTGCTGCCAGCTCAGCAGTGGAGCACAGCACAGGCTCACGCTGCCCATTGCTCCACAGATGCAGCCGGCACCACAAGACATGCTCAGAATATCTGGGAGAGCATGAGAAGAGTTTTCTACCAGGGAACACATGGTTTGATTAAGTTAATGGCCATTGTGGCTGGTGGAGCACTTTTCCTGCTGATGTGCTATGCTGGAATCTGGTATTGCTGGAAGAGAAAACAGTGAGTGTTTTGCTGATCTCGGCCTCAAACAGCTTCTTGAAAGGCTGCTCATAGTCGGGAAACATTCCCAGTGAGGCTGCTGTGGACCTGTAGATAGTCAGTGGTTGTCCAAATAACTCTGCCGAGAGTTCTGCTGCTGCCCAGGCCTTTAATTGGCCTCTTAATTGCTGGGCCTTGTCCTGGGGAGCCCGCTGGGGCTGCAGCCAGTGCTGGCTGCCACTGAGGCTGCCTGGCCAAGAGCAGCCCCAGGAGCAGCGGGCAGAGGCAAAGCAAGGTGGGCAGGAGAAAGAGCGGGGACGAGATTGCCCTTGAAAGGCAGAGGCGCTCTGGGGCCCGCTCCTGGCCAGGGACCCTGCCCAGAGCCATCCCCTGCTCGCCGGGGCCTTGAGGGGCAGCTGTCCAGCTGGGCCAAGCTGTGCCAGCAGCTCCAGCTGTGCTGGGGAGCCTTGGCCGCTCTGGGCCCTGCTGTGCAGGAGGGTCCCTGCGTGCCAGCGGCAGCTGGGGGCCTCAGCCACCTCCTCTCTCCACAGGAGCACCTCTGCACCTTCAGAACAGCAGCCAAAGACTTTAATCGCTGAGAAGCTGACCTCTCATCCCCACTCTTCACCTCTGTCT